CACGTACTCAATATTGCAAACCTCAGCGACAAACTTGACCGTGTTTTCGCCGGGGATACACACACGCGCCAACAGTGTCCATTTCGAGCCCAAGTAGATAGCCGATGATAGCATTGCTGTCACTCTTCGAGCGCTCCGGTGCGTCCGGCACCTGGATGTGCACAAGCGAGCCAAAGGGCCTCAAGTGGTGCACAGCAGCTTTCACGCCGAGCATTCGCTGGAATAGAATCCCATCGATGGCTCGATGGTACATCATGTTCTTGATGTACCCCCACAAAAGGGCATACCACCAAAACGAACGAGCAAACCCGGACTTGTGCATCTGCGTCTTCGTGTAGTCATTCAACGACTGGAACGCACACTCCACAGCACTCAGATATGAGCTCTTCGGCCCGACTTCAATGTGCTCGATTCCACGCTCCGCATAGAACGCCCTCATATCCTTGTTTATAAACTCAACACCTTTATCATTGAGAACGCGTTGCACCGGAATCTTCGCGCTTTCTGCAGGCTCGTGCTCACGCTGGACGATATTCATGATCCCAAGACCAGCTTGGCGCTCCGCCCACAGCACGTAGCGCTGTATGTACTTTTCACAATCCTCCCACTCTTGTCAGTGAGCAAGAACACAGTGAGATATCGGCTCCAGCCATCCATGATTACGAGAACCGCGACAGATCGCGAACCGTTGTTCTGTGGCGGGAACATCAAATCAGCAGCCACAATCATATTGGGAGCCGTAATTTGGCGATCCAACTTCTGCTGACGTCGCTTCTGTCTCTGCTTGCCATAACCCTGTTGGAATGTGGATGGTAAAAGAGCAACTGGTGTATTAGAACCAAGGCATTCTTCCTACACCTAGCTCCTAGAATTTACACCTGGACCGAGATCCTCCCGAGGCCCAGAGAAACCCCTGCGATCCCATAGGCCTCTTGAACCGCCAAAGGCCATCCGGATAATCGTATTCGGATCCGTTTTCCAACAAAGTTTTCTCATGCTATGCGAATGGTAAATTTGGTGCTTAAGTAGTGCAATGCTAGTTCCAATCGCCAAGTACTAAATATTTGAGCTACCAAAACGCGCACGCTGAGATTCAGCTATCTCTAGGGCTGGATTCTGGTAGCCCTCGACCCTTTTTGAGACCAATTTCCCTCCCCTCTTTACAATATGGCTCTTTTTGGGCACTGGGGCCTCGGGTTGGCAGGGCAGACACACTTTCTGGATGTGATTGTTTTTCTACTATAGTGAAATATCTTCGGTTGCATCCTGTGGGTGTCGAACCAGGTATCTCCAAGGTTAAGTAATCAAACTCTTAAGCTTGCCAATTTCTAGATCAGGTGCAGGTACCGGTATGCGATACCAGTCATTTTCATTTTCGGTACAAGTTTTGGCTCGCAATATCCGCTAAACTAATCTCGGTACTATTTTTGATATACCACATATATTGGTATAGGTGACAGACATGGTGTCAGCTTTTTGTCCACGCAACACCGAGTTGAGCTTTCTACGATCTTCAGCATAGGAGCCAATCTTGACCGGAAATAGCTAAACTTTTACGATTACACGGCGACACATCTAAATATGAGCCAATAATAATCAATAAACAGCAATCTGCAACACTAGTTGGTAAACAAGGACAAAAAAAGCTAGTGTCCCAAACACCAACACACCATAGACATACGCCGTTGCGCTATATCTTCCACTGTAAACGTTTCTGCTTGAAAATTCACGACTTGCTTGCAATTGAAGTAATGCGGGCGCAAAAAATGCAACGTAGATACCCATAAGCCCACTTATTTGAAGGGTAACAGATAAATCCGACACAAAGACTGAGATCAGTAACGGAGGGACTGCAGCTCCAAATCGACAAAGCAATTTACGGGTAGACCTCCTCCCTTGTACCCACGTTTGTGGTATCACTGCAGCCATGTTGTCTCCTAGAGTCACCGATATGAGTGGAAACACGCTCAAAGTATCAAGAGCTGGAAACACCACGACAATCATTGATAGAATTTTGGCCCAAAGCGGTACTAGCGCTACCGATTCATCGAATCCCCATGTGAATTCGGCCCAATTTAAATTTACACTAGTTGAAAGCTTTGATCCAAAATACAGCGAGCAAATCGATCCCAGCGCGATGTAAAATATCATTGTCGTAAGTAGCGTACAACTGAAAATAGCCGAAGCCTTTTCTTGATTCCTGCTCCCAAGGGGTGCCAATAATCCCGGTACCGAATGTTGAAATAATTGCGAGAAAACGCTAGTACTAAACATGACGCCGAATCCACTCCAATCCACAAGAGAATAATTACTCATGTAAGGTGGCTTGGAACTAGATTGAATCTCCACTCCAGCATCATACGGGTCATTGAAAAGAGCATATGTAGCACTCACAATCATAATCAATAGTGCCACGAAACGTACTACAGACATGGTCAATTGTACGTAGATTTGCTCCGTCAAATCTGAACAAGACAGTGGAAGAACAATACTGGCGAACACAATGGCTACATGACCACTAGATAATTGCCATCCTCCTACGTTATCAAATTGCGTAAGGAATGTATTGATAAAAACCTGACTGTAGCCGACCAACCCTCCATACATGAGGCCTAACAGTGCAACTTGGTACATTTTAGAAGTTGATGAGCCTAAAAACCTGTCACAAAGGTGCGTCACCTCAGGAAAATCATTGTGTTTCATGGAAGAACTGCTTTTAGAGCTGTTCGAGAAGAGAGCTGTCTTTTCATCCAGTAGAAAGCTTAGAACGGAAGCCTCGCGGGCCCTAGCGACACTCTCGCAAATCCACATGACGGTCATATAAGACAACAGCGTCACTGCAACTATCATGATATTTCCCATAACTAAACCAGAACGATAAAAAGCGTATGGAATACCGAGAGAGCCTACGCCCAAGATGTAATTGACTGTGAAGGCATAGGCTACAAGAGGTGAGTATCGCGTGCTGGTTTCCTGTTGATAAGCAAGATGGACAGATTTACTGTGATGCAGCAAACGATGTGCATTTCTAGAGCAGCGAGTTTCGCCGTAGTCCTCCCAGTTGCCCACCTCCTCGCCGTTGTTGTCGTACACAGAACTCCAGTCCATGAACCAGATTATTAAATTATTGATCTTTTATTAATTCCTTGTTTATTTCCAGCTGCTTTTCAGCCAATCGACCAGGCTTAAATTCCCACTTTTCCGCTACAAACGTAACGATAACCATCACCTTGACGCATCGGTCCTTTTCGTCTGCGAAAAATATCATCCAATGGGGGCTGCCATTTTGAAAAGCTGCTTTAGTGGTGAGTCCATTGAGACCCCACGCCGCTTTTACCAATTTCAGCAGTCTTCTACTTCAGACTCATGTCCCCAATACGACGAATCATATTTTCGCTTGTCATCCACAACTATGCCTCCATCTGATACAGCTAATCTGAATCTATGCTGCGTGAACCACCTTTACGCCACAAGTGTCGAATCGCTTGACAAGCTACTCGTCCAGAAGTACTCGAATTTCTACACACTAGATTTACCACCGTCAGTTTTACATCTGCAGCAGCATAATCAGGACGTAGGTAAGCTCAAAAAGAGTTCAACCAGGTCTGTGTCGTCTGAAACTACGACGTTGTCCGAGAGCTCAGTCGTGGCCAAATCACCTTCGCACGAGGCTAGCCCTTTGCACGGATTTCACTCGATCACTGACAAGTCGGATGCAGGATTTAGCTCGCTCTTACCGCCTATTTACAAACTTATCTGCGTGGCCGGTAAAGGTACGACGTCTACCTGCTACAAAATTGTGCGCAGGACCGACGGTCTTCATTTTGCCTGCAAGATTATCGACAAGAATAAATTAGCCCCGCATGCTCGACGGAGAAAAAAAGTTTTCGCTCAATTGCGTCTTGAGGTAGATGTGCTTCGACGCATTGACCATCCGCACATCGCGAAGCTCGAAGAATCGTTTGAAGACAGCAATTATCTCGTTCTGATTATGGAGCTCATGGAAGGGGGTGAGCTATTTGACGCCATTGTAGAAAAAGGCCGTTTCTCAGAGTGCGACACCATTCACGTGGCCCGCAGTGTTCTTTCCGCTATTCAACACATGCACGAGCGTGGCGTCATGCACCGTGACCTTAAACCTGAAAACATGTTGCTCCATAGCAGACATTCCGCGACCAGCGCAATTGACGTAAAGATCATTGACTTTGGCTTTGCCGGAATTATAGAACAAGGCGCCACATCGACGTCATTTTTGGGCACGGAAGGCTATTTAGCTCCTGAGATTTTGCTTAGGCAAGCATATGGTACTTCTGTGGATATGTGGTCGTTTGGCGTACTGACCTACTTGCTGCTATGTGGTCGGCTGCCGTTTGCGGCTTCCACGAAGCTTCGACCGAACCAGACAATTCAGGCGTTTTACAAACTCACATTTCCAAAGAAATACTGGCATGGGGTGAGTCCCGTCGCTATCGACTTTCTGGAACGTGTGATGGTAATCAATCCTTCCACGCGGCTTACTGCCATGGAAGCATTAAATCATGATTGGCTTCGAAATTAAATTGGCCAGACGGCTAGACATAGGGCTACTTATTTATCTTCTTATTAAAATTTAGTACATTCATTTCGAAAAGATGAAGCTTTCACAGCTCAAATTTTACTGGACAAGCAGAAAAACTTGTGAAAGAGAGAGATGATATAACTTTTTCATGGGCAGGATTTAGGCATAAGTAGGATACTGGAACACCGAAATCGAACTATGAGCTGGACAGCAAAAGCTAAATCATCTCGGCGAGACGGCATTTCGATCTCGCTCGGAATTATAGCTAAAGATCCTTGAAATTGCAGTAGATAAAAATCAAACACCCAGTTATTGTATTGCCTTGTCATCATGGGCGAGACGTTTATTGCGGCGTCACCGATTTGCAATTTGATTCAGAACAAGTGAAAAAAAACTGAAGATACCTTTTTGTGGCCGCTAAATTACGAAGACCGATGAATATGTGAGCTATACAATGCCAACCATGTGGGCATATTTCAAGATTCTGTATTTGTAGTTGACATATTACCAATGTGGTTTGCGTTGTGATTTTGACAGTTTAATTTGTTACATAATATATAAGCGGAATACACGAACATTGTGGGTAGAATGCTACAGTAACACTTCAGGTAACGCGAATGGAAACAATCGGTCAGTATTAATGTATTCATCTGCGTCCGTCAATGAAACGAAGCGTGATGTGCGTGTGGTTAGCACCAATATTTCGCAATAGTTTCTAGCATGCATTTAAAAAAGGTCATGAGGACGACATGGGGTGGGTATTTTGATGAGCTCGATGGGCTGATATAAAATCGATCTGTCAACTGATTTTCTATAGTATCATTATGCTGAGCGGCAGAACTGCGGCGGACCTATTTTGCACTGCCAAAGTCATTGGTTTGATGCTTTGCTTTAACTGTTCCGTTTAGATAGGTGGTTTTTTTCAGAGTTCTGCTGTGATACACTTATGTGTGGTAGTCGGCGTGAAACAAGCTGACAAAAACGAAAGGAGGAATTCGTAAACATCGTCGCCATTAAGCCCTGAGCGCAATTGTGAAGCTGCCCGATTTTAAATTTTGTAAGCAGCTCCACCACTCGACGTTGAAAGCTTACATTCAGGTGCCTATCCTGACATCCCGTGGTCCAACCGTAATCAACTTTGACAATTTGGTTGGAGTGTGGCATCGAGGACGAGGTCCTCATGATGCACGTGAAGTGACACGTAAACCACTGAGCGCTGCTCGAGGAATAAAGCAGTCGCTGCATGTCATGCGTGACATGGTCGGCCAAGGGCCGAGGCATCGAGGGCAAGGCCCCCGTGATGCACGTGAAGTGGCTTGAGAACCACTGACCACTGCTCTCGTTGTGAAGCAGTCGCTGCATGCCATTGATGGCGTGGTCGAACAGAGTCCGAGGCATCTTGGGCGCGGCCATCCTGTTGCGCGTGGAGTGGCACGTTATCCACTGGACGAAGACTGCGGGCTTAGCAGTTCTTCGTCGGATGTTGTAGTGAACATCAAAGCTCCAAAGGAGCGGACAGTGAGGGCGACACCAAACGACGCGGAATGCGTGTTCACCCTGGTTCCACCGAGACATAGAACCTCTGTACAGAGGCGACAGCAACGCCGTATGCTGGCTGCAAGACGTCAGTCGTTGACCCTGATCCAGGGTGTTTCTAACGTAGACGATGGCGCACAGTTTTACATCCTCGTCAACGGTATGACGGGGAAAAGAATTAACGACGTCCGCCTCGAGGCTATGCCTGCAATAGATGCTTTTCTTGAGCCGGACGAGATGTCCCTTGAAGTGTTCGGCAGTGCCATGAAGGCAGGCGATTCGGCCGAAGTGGTCATTCCGGACGAGGAGATAAACTCGTCATCACTTTTGGATGAAGCTGTCTTGGAGGGCACCAGGAGAGTGTTGAACGCACAAAATGGATCGTCGATTCTACGGAATCCCTGGGATCTGTACTATGCTTTGGTAAAGGAGTTTCAAGACGTCATCGCCAAATACCCGCCTTCGGTCCTACCTCCGGACCGAGGTGTGCATCTTAAGATCGACCTGGTCCCGGGAACCAAATACTGCGTAACACGCCAATGGCCCCTTCCCAAGGAGCAGTGCGACGACATTGACGCATTTTTCCGTGCGAAGCACGACGCAGGAATGTTGCGTAAGAGCAAGTCTTCCCATTCGACACCCACGTTTTGTTTTCGGAAGCTGAACGGCAAGTGGCGCATTTTTCATGCTTACAACAAGTTCAACGCTGCCACCATTCCGGCACAGACGCCGATTTCTAGCAAGGATGTTCTTCCCGACAACATGGTGGGGTGTACAAAGTACAGTGCGCTCGACTTGGTCGACGGATACTACCAATTGCTCATGAGAGCGAGTGATATTCTGCTAACAGCGGTGAGCAGTCCGAGCGGCATGCTCTGAGAGTTGCTGGTGATGGCCTAAGGGCTGTCGAATGCTCCAGCAACATTTAATCGTCTTGTGACGCGGTTATCCAGGCCCCACACGGCGTATGCATCGACATTCTTTGACGACTTTTTCGTTTATACTTGTGCGGAGCACGGGAGGACGGATAAGGAGAACCACATCGTCCATCTAAGAGCGGTGCTCGAGTACATGCACACGAACAAACTGTACGCCAATGCAGACAAGTGCATCTTTGGCGCAGAAGAG